TTCATGCCCGCAGGTCCCAATAGATAGGTTGAGAGTCGTCCAAGTAGGCTATCAGCTCAGCGGAAGGTGTTGGTGCACTCCATTTGCTCCGGAGTTGCTTATTTGGTTAGTATATTTAGACATGTATTGATTGGTATGTCGGGGCCCTGTCCTAGCCTTATGACGTTTATGTACTATTAGAGGTTTGTAGACATATGTCATGTATATGAAAGATTGTATGGCCTTGTCGGCCTATGTTCAGTGTATGAGTGATTATTTTGGCCTTATAGGCCCGTACGTCATATGTATAAGTCAGTATATCAGGTTGGGTCATTTTTGTCACGCCCCAAACCGATGGGCCGCGACAGGCACACGGTACCTTACTCGACCGAGTACTAACATAACGTATCTTTTTGTATCATGTTATCATAGGTAAATGAGACGGAAAGACTGCCGTAGGATAACTAGAATAAAACATGTAATACCAACTTATACATAAGACATATGGGCCTATAAGACCAAAATGATCACTCGTACACTAAACATAGGCCGACAAGGCCATACAATCTGTTATGTACATGACATATGTCTACAAGCCTCTAAGAGTAGATAAATACCATAAAGGTCAGGACAGGGTCCCGCCATACCAATCAATACATGACCAAATCGTACTGACCAAATAAGCAACTCCGGAGCAAATGGAGCGCACCAACACCTTCCGCTGAGCAAATGGAGCGCACCAAAACCTATATATATATATATACGCGTATATAACGCCATCTGGTCATAGGTCAATGTACATGTATAAATGAATGCAATGCACGAGAAGTACGTCAATAAAATCTTTCGAAACGTCATAAGACCATTATGCCTTTGATTAATATCATGAAATAAACTTTATCAACTTACGTATTTTCCGAGACCCATGAACAGACGATAGAATAATAAGACATATGGGAATTCAAGAACATAGGCACCTCTAATACTTCTATGAATAGAGTCATTATGGAAGTTATGCATTTTGCTCATTTCATTTGTGTCGTATAGATCATGCCAAAAAGAAAGAAGGGATAGCCTTAACATACCCGAGCTAATTCTCTTGACAATCCCTCTAATACACGTCAATCGCGACAAAACACGTAACGGCGGATCGAAGTAGGGGAAAATCCGTATGATATTCTTGAGAAAGATTGCACCACACTCCCTTAGAATCACAAATATCACGCTGCTATGGCATTATGAAATTTCATATGAATTGATGTTGAGAATCTGATTTTCGAGAGTTAAAGTCCATTCCTAGCACATATATCTCCATTCTCCATATCAATAATGTAGTAAATAATGTTGTAAGAAGATTGTCTTATGACTTTTGGTTGTGAGCCCCACTTTAGGGGATGACTAAGCCACAAATATTCTCTTAAAATGCCACCTTGTAATGAGAGTTAAGAGTCATTATTAATGCCTCTTTGGGCAGCTACGTGAAAGTTTATTAAACCTTATCCAAATAATTTAATCACTTAGTTAATCTCTTACTAAAATCCATAATTACCCATTACCCACTTAATTAAGAATTATCTCAAATTACTTAAAATACTACTCACTTTTAACACACTTTATACACTGTAATATCACGATCATGTGGTACCTTGTATGGCACTAGTCCATAAATACCGGGTATTTTAGCTCGGGCCGTATTTTATCTCAAAATGTCAAACTTTGACGAAATTCATTTTTCTTTATTTGCTTACCCTCTCACCTTCACGAATTTACTCATCAATTGTTTGAAATAGCATAATGCTTATAATCTCGAAATAATCTCATTCCCGAGCTTACGTCGATTAGCTTACGACGAAACTTTAATATACGAAAATGCGGGATGTAACATCTCATTTCCGAGCTTCCATCAATTTATTTATGGCGTACTTTCACGTACGAAAACATGGGGTACGACAGTTTTATGTCGAGTGTCCTCTCATGTTTTATTCTTGTTACCTCATATGGCCCTTATGGCCCATTTACCCATGTTAATGTAATGACAAAGATACGTTACGTTGGTACTCGGTTGAGTAAGGGCACCGGGTGCCCGTCGGGCCCATTGATTTGGGTCATGACAGTGGGCCCAAGGGTAAATTTTAGGAATCTTCTAATTTTGGGTTGGGTAACTACTCTAATAGTTAAATCATGAACTTTTGAACATGTATTATTAATTTATATAACATTTGACTAGTTTCGAGTCGTTTGGCACCGAGTTGAGGATTTAAAGCATATTTGTGGATCTGAAGTGAACTTGAGACGAGGTAAGTCTCTTGCCTAACCTTGTAAGAGGGAACTCATCCCTTTAGGTGTGTTTTGTTGTGAATTACTTATGTAGGGAGATACATACGCACTAGGTGACGAGAGTCAGTACGTAGCTATATTTCATGTGATGTCCGGGTAGTCTTAGGTTTACATGATGCTTTGTTGACACCGTTATTTGGTTATGCTTATTAATTGTCTTGAATAGAGCTGTGATTGAGGATTTCAAGATTTAAAGTTTCCAGTTTAGACTTCTTATTTTTGGAAAGATTTGAAGAAATATATAATAACTTTGAGAAATCTATGTTCACTCGCGTCGCAAGTATTTCCGCGAGTGAGGTATAGTCCACTACTCTCTGGGAGCGGGTCGTTCGCCTCGACAGATTAATAGATGCATCTATGGTTCGAGCCGTTCGACCCTCGGCAGTGCACACAGTTTATATATGTATTTTTGGATGGGGCCGTACGACCTCGGCATAATTCGTACGTAATAATACTTGGAGCCCCATTTATACTTGATATCATTCTATGGGCTTGAGAGGTTAAATAGCTAATTGATGAAAATTGACTTGGGATTTACTATTTGTGAAAGACTTGTTTATTTATTGCTTGTTATTGAGTTTTCATTATCATTTATATACCCCATGCTTATTCAGAATTTCGGTATTTTATTGTTAGCCCGTGGTATGTGTCGAAATCGACCCCTCGTTACTACTTATTAAAGGTTAGACTAGATACTTATTGGGTGCATGTTGTTTACGTGCTCACACTACACTTCTGCACTAACCGTGCAGGATCTGAGGCAGGTGCATCTGGTTATCATCCCGGAGCGCACTCCTGATACCTTGAGACTTTTCAGTGAGCTGCCTTCCGAGCCTGTTCTACAGCACCCGAAGTCTTTCTTTTGCTTTTAGTTTCTGTCTACCTTATTTCAGATAATATTTTATTATTTTTTGTATATTCTACTAGTAGCTCATACACTTGTGACACCAGGTCTTGGAAATTATGCTGTAGGCACTTGGGGACTTTTGATTATTTATTTCGTCTCATTTGCTTTTAAAACTATCTATTTCTCATGTTATTTAATTTTTCACTTCTTATTTATTCAATAACTAAAAATCAACTATTTCTAACTGTTAAAAAGCAACAATCACACGGTTGGTTCACTGTTGGCTTGCCTAGCAGTAACGTTGTGCGCCATCACGGCCTATAGGAGAAATTGGATCGTGAAATCAGGTGCTTATGATAATGCATACGGAAGGGGGCCCGTTCCTCCAAGCCTTCCTGCAAAATTAGACGACTCAAAGAGTCGATAATAACACCCCAAGGGGTGAAGTCAGTTTCGACAGTGCCGGAGGGACCAGTAGCGGATCTGGGAAGGACAACGGGAATGATCCCTTCAAAACTGAGCTTATGAGGGAAATACACGAACAAATGAATCAAAATGCAAAGGAGTTTCACGCCCGAAAGGATTAGATTCTGGGCGCACCACCAGTTCTGAAAAGTCCAAATTCAAAAAGTAAATGCAATTGTCGTTTAAGCCGAGCGCAGCACTAGAGTTAATTCTGAAGAGGTTCAAGATGCCGGACATACCAAAATACGATGAGACTTCGGATCCAGAAGATCACATCACAACCTACACCTCTAAAAGGGAATGATTTGGCTCAACATGAGATCGAATCAGTATTGCTGAAGAAGTTTGGCAAAACCGTCACAAAATGGAGCCTGACATGGTATTCTCTTTTACTCGACAACTCAGTTGACTTTTTTGAGACGCTTGCAGATTCATTTAGTAAGGCCCATGCTGGGGCAAGGAAAGTTCATGCTAGGAAGGCGGATATATTTAGGATTGCGCAGGGCGAATCCGAACTATTGTGAGAGTTCGTGATCCATTTCCAGAAGGAGAGGATACTGCTACCGGTGGTACCAGATGAGTGGGCAGCAGAGGCATTTACAAAAGGGTCTAAATCTGCGAAGCTCCGATGCCTCCCGAAGCTGAAGGAATGCATGCTCGAATTTCATGTAACCATATGGGCGGATGTCTATAACCGTTATGAGTCAAACATAAGGATAGAAAACGATCAACTCGGGTTCTCGACATCAATTAAAGGACGAGATCGAGATAAGAACCAAGACAAGTTTAAAAGCGACTTCAATGCGGATCGATAGTCTTCCAAAGGTTGTTCCTTGCAATATGAAAGAACCAAGGGATGTGGCAACAAAGAGTTTTGGTCCTTAGATAGGTTCTCTCCAATAGAAAAACCCACCATGGCCGGAACAACAGGTCATTACAAGAAAAAGAGGTACCAGGGGCCCGGAACTCCACATTCCAGGTTATTGGATTACAACTTCAACATTAGCTTAGTGGAGTTGGTATCGGCGATGAGGAATATCAAAGAAACACGATTCCGGAATCTAATCAGATTCGATCCCAGCCAGAGGGATCCCAACTTGTAGTATGAATGTCATGGGACTCACGGCCATAGAACTGGGGACTTTCGGCACTTACGTGAAGAGGTGGCGACATTGTTGAAGAATGGTCATCTTAGAGAATTTTGAGTGATCAAGCCAAGAACAACTACAGCGGAAGTCGGGACAATGTAGAGCCTTCGAATGCAGCGGAAGACTCCCCTCGGTTGACTATCAAAATGATCTTCAGAGGGAATGAAATCAGCGGTTTAACCTTCTCGACAGCCAAGAAAACAAATATATAGGTGACTCACAACATGAGACTCTGGGAAGCCGCGGAAGATGATATTACCTTCACGGAGAAAGATGCTGACAGACTTCTTCTACCACATAATGATGCTCTGGTAATCTCCCTTAATGTTTTAGATTTCAAAATTAAGCGTGTTTTGGTTGACCCAGGAAGCTCATCCAACGTCATCCAATGGAGAGGACTGGAGCAATCAAAGCTGACCGAAAGCATCATTCTAGTGACAAAGTTCTTAACTGGATTCAACTTGACAAGTGTGACAACCCGAGGAGAGATCTCGCTGCCCACGAACACCGAAGGGGTAACCAAGACCACTTTATTCGGAGTGGTAGATGGTGACATGGGCTACAATGTAATCCTCGGGAGGCCGTGGATACACGAGATGAAGGCCATACCCTCAATATATCACCAGTTATTGAAATTCCCAATGCTGCAAGAAGTTAAACCAATAAGAGGAGATCAACCGGCGGCAAAGGAGATGAATGCGGTAACTATTTCCAGCAGAAAGGGAAAGAATCCAACAAAATAGCAATTATAGGAGCGGAAAGAAATCCAACAAAATAGCAATTACAAGAGTCGATGTCTTCTTCCCTTCCGAATGAAGACGATAAGAGCGAGGATTCATTGGAATCCTATTAGGTTCCAAGGTACTTTCAGGTACCGTAAGAGACGGGTGCAACCAAGTCAATCACAGAGGAGCTCGAGTGGCCCTGTTCAATGAATTTTTTGAGAGGAACTTTCACTTGGGAATAGGACTCAACCCCAAACTCAGGTTAGAATTTATAAATTTCTTTAACACAAATTGCTTTGCGTGGTCGCACTCGGATATGACAGGTATCCCGTTAGAGGTTGGCGTGCACAAGATAGGTCTGGATCCAAACTTCCCACCAGTAAGGCAAAAGAAACGCCTAATAGCGGAGGTCAGGAACAAGTTTGTTAAAGAAGAGGTAACCTGACTACTCAATATCTGTTCCATACGGGAGGTAAAATATCCAGAATGGTTAGCCAATGTAGTTGTAGTTCCGAAGAAGAATAACAAGTTTATAATGTGCGTAAATTATAAGGATTTAAATAAGGTATGCCCTAAAGACTCGTTTCCATTATCAAACATTAATCAAATGATTGATGCTACGGCCAGGCACGAGCTAATGAGTTTCCTTGATGCTTACTCCGGGTACAATCAAATCATGATGAACTCGGAGGATCAGGAAAAAAATTCTTTCAAAACAAACTTTGACACATATTGCTATAATGTGATCCCATTTGGGCTTAAGAATGCCGGAGCTACTTATTAGAGTCTTGTTAACAAAATGTTTGAAAATCAGATAGGCAAAACAATGGAGGTATACGTTGATGACATTTTAGTCAAGTATTTGAATGTAGGAGATCATTTGAAACACCTCCAAGAGACTTTCAACATCCTAAGGAAACATAACATGAAACTCAACCCGAAAAAATATGCGTTCAGAGTTGGAACAGGTAAGTTCTTGGGGTTACTGGTCTAGCAAAGAGGGATCGAGGTAAACCCTTAAAAAATCAAAGCCATCGGAGACATTCCTGACCAGCAGGCATGAAGGAGGTGCAGAGATTAACCGGAAGGTTAGCAGCCTTAAGTATGTTCATCTCAAGATCCTCAGAAAAATGTCATCACTTCTTCTCACTTCTTAAAAATAAGAACAATTTCGAGAGGACTTCTGAATGCCAACATGCATTGAAGACCTAAAAAATACTTATCAAGCCCTCCGTTGCTTTTAAAATTGGGGAAGGCGAGCAGTTGTTAATATAACTTGCAGTCTCGGAAGTGGCGATAAGTTCTGTTTTAGTCTGAGAGGAAGAAGGTACTCAATTTTCCGTTTATCATGTTAGAAAAATATTGTCAGGAGCGGAGACTTGATATCCGCACCTCAAAAAGTTATCCTTAGCTCTCGTAGTTGCCTCTCGAAAGCTTAGGCCTTATTTTCAGTGCGACCCAATAGCCGTTGTGCCAACCTTTCTTTTAAGGAATGTCCTTCACAAGCCTGAGTTTTCGGTCTATTTGGCTAAATGGGCGGTCAAAATCAGTAAGTTCGACATTGAGTACAAACCCAGGACTGCGATCAAGTTGTAAGTATTGGCCGACTTTGTGGCTGATTCAGTCCCGGGTTAATGCCCTTGGCATCTAAGGAAGCAGTGCTGGTGTCAAAAATAACATCAGGAGTTTGGGCCTTGTTTATGGATGTAGCCTCCAATGTAAGAGGGCCCAGTCTCGGGATAGTTCTAATCACGCCTTCGGGAGAAACCCTGAGGCAGACCATTAAAATTGTTTTATTAACTAACAATGAAGCCGAGTATGAGGCTTTGGTTGCAGGACTTGAATTAGCTTGGGGACTAGGCTCTAAGGTCATCGAAGTAATAGGTGACTCCTAGCTGGTAGTAAACCAAGTGTATGGGATTTTCGTTGCAAAGGAACAGCGCATGCAACAATATGTGAACAAGGTTCAAGCATTGCTTGCACGTGTCAAGGAATGGTCAATCATACACATTCCAACGGAAGAAAATCTGGAAGCATATGCATCGGCTAATTTGGGGTCGTATACGAAAATGATAAGATCCGACTCCAGGACAATTGTTCAACTTCTGCACTCGGTGTTGGACGTGGATGGTTATTGCGAGGTGAATTCAATCGACTTATTATGGGACCGAAATAATGGGTTTGTCGAATACCTTTAGTATGGCAGGTTACCCGGGGACCCGAAGGCATCCCGGGAAGTACGAACAAAGTAGCTCATTACTGCCTCATAGATAGGCAGTTATACAGAAGATCATACCAAGGCTCATTAGCCCAATGTCTAGGGGCCTCGGAAGCGGACTAAGTGATGAGGGAAGTCCATGAAGGAGTCTGCAGGAGCCACTCCGGTACAGGTTCGTTAGTTCTAAAGTTGATCAGGGCATGTTACTATTGGCCTCAGATGGAACAAGACGCAAAGACGTTCGTTCAAAAGTGTGACAAGTGTCAATGCTATGCACAGTTGGTACACCAAGCGGCAAAACTCCTGCATTCGGTCTTGGCCCCATGGCTATTCATGAAATGGGGATGGACATAGATGGTCTACCGTCGGGTCCCGGAAAGATAAGATATCTTTTAGTTTTAACTGACTGCTTCACTAAATAGGTTGAAGCAGGTCCTTACCAAAAGATCGGTGAACGCGAAGTGATGGATTTCATATGGGACCACATAATCTGTCGGTTCGGAATATCGAAGGAAATTGCTTGTGATAACGGGCAGCAATTCATAGGCTCAAAAGTCACCAAATTTTTGGAGGATTTAAGATCAAGAGAATTACGTATTCACCATACCATCCCAGTATTAACAGACAGGCGGAATCAACCAACAAGGTAATCATTCAAAACCTCAAGAAAAGGTTAGAAGATGTTAAGGGCAAATGGCTCGATGAGCTACCGGGAGTACTGTGGGCATATCGGACAACAACAAAGTCGAGTACGGGAGAAACACCTTTCTCTCTCGTAAATAGTGCAAAAGCTTTGATACCGGCAGAAGTGTGGGAGCCGACTTTATGATTTTCCGAACAAACGAGGAAGCAAAAATGAAACTAGATTTGCTCGACGAACACAGGGACTTGGCATATATGGGGATGGTGGCTCAAAAGCAAAGAATGGAAAGATATTATAATCGGAGGGCCAACCTCGGCTACTTCAAAGTAGGAGACTTGATTTTGAGAAAAGTGACTTAGAGCACTAAGGAAGTCAACACTGGGAGGTTGGGTCCAACATGGGAAGGTACTTACCGAGTTTCAGCTATTACCGGTAAAGGGTCGTACGAGTTGGAGAATCAAGATGGTGTCAGGTTGCCTAACAATTGGAACGTGACTCACGTCAAAAGGTATTATTGCTAACGGATGCTACCAATACTAGAAGTATGTGCTGCACTCTTTTTCCTTTCGACCAGTTTTTGTCCCAATCGGATTTTTTTAGCAAGGTTTTTAACGAGGCAGCAACGGAAAACATACTACGAGGGGAGCGTCATCGGCAACAGGAAAGACCTTTAGTAATAAGGCACCAAAATTTTCACGTCGATGACTAACGACTATATAGATGGTTAAATTATCTTTGATTCGAAGGCAAGCTTTGCCTTCCATCACTAAAAAGAGATTATTTAACCATTTATAAGTTGTTTCTACCAGTGAAGCAAGACTTCCAGTGTTCAAATTCGCATGCTTCACATTCGAACACGAGGGGGGGGGGGGAAAGATAATATCTAATACAACACCAGGAGTGCCACAAATATCGGGACTGCGAGAACCTGGATCAATGTTCCATCAGGACCGGGGACTACATGACTACATGATCAGCCCCGTAGAAATAAGTTGTACAAGTTAACCACATGTATTGGCAGTTTTTACTTTTGCACATGAATGCTTATGTGATTTTAAAGATAGAAGAAATAAAATAAAGTCCTTTTATATTTATTTATTTCTTGTCCAAATGATGAGTTAATTTTATCATTTGAAATTTAACAAAAAATTCAAATTCCTGTGCCAGAATGAACAGGAGACATCCTCTTCAAGAGCATCATAAACATAAGAGGGCCCTCTGTATGAAACCCTCATAGTAAAGGGTTGATTCCGAAACAATTTATACCCAAAATTAGAAGCAATCAGATGAAAATATACCCGAAGTTCTAATCAACTCAACGCAAAAGGAATATATTTTGCACAGCACTTAAGCAAAAAATTCTTTGTTTAGCAAAGTGCCAAACTCGGTGAAAATTTTGGCATAATTAAAAGATAAAAAAAGGAAGACGAAGTTAAACGTCATTGCCTCCGAAACCCGAAGGGAGAGATGGGTCTATATTTTTCCCGGTGGAAGGAGATGGATATCCTACCGGTTTGGGCCTGGACCTTCATCTTCATTTTCTTCGATCTCCCGTCGATTCCCGAGTATTTGGAATCGATGCTCGAAGAGTCAGTTGCAGCGAGCCGAGCAGGAATATTTTGTCGAGCAGTTAGCTCCAGTTCTCAGGCCTTGACAATGCAATCATCAATATTGACGATGCCCGCTTTGGCCTCTTCCAAGATTTTCCTCCTCATATGATATATATCATAAGTCTTCTCAAATACGAGGGAATCCTCTTGGTATTGGAGCTTTACTTTGAGTCTATATATTTCATCTTGAAGGTCGTTCCTTTCGGACCTCATGGCACCGTGGCGAGAATCAAGTTCAATAGTTGTAGATAAGTGGATCCAATTTTGCTCTATGATTCTCTTAAAACTCTATTCCCATCTTCTCCTAGGCAGCACTGGCTTCCTCGATTTTGGAGTTCAACTCTGCTTTCAAATTATTTATTTGCTCCTCGAAGGAAAATAGCAAGCACAACACCAAGAGCTCGACCTACTTAGCCTTAGCCTCTTGAAGTTGCTCGTGTAATTGAGTGTCTTCTTAGCAGTGGTCCATTTTATCTTGCTCGTTCTACTATAACCGGGACTCAAGCTCACCCATCTTAACAGATTTTGCCTCCAACACCTGGAGGCACGAAACAAGTTGGTTCCTTTCGGCCAACAGTTGATCCCGCTCGGAAGCGAGTCCTTACTTATAAAGGATCAATCTCTGCAGACCTTCAGAATCAAGAAAGTTGACCTGCAAAAGAGAATATCAAAGTTAAGATTTCCATCGCGGCAGGTAAATGAAAAAGAAGATATAAGAAAGCAAGTACGGTACTTGCGGCATGCTGTGCATGGCATTATTAATCAAGCACTCCCTGAAAAGGGAGCGCATTTTCTTCCAATCTTTCTCCAAAGCCAATGACTTCAGATAGTTCGCAAGCTCCACCGTCTTGGAAGGGGTTGAGTAATCGTGCCTCAAATTCCCGTGGACGGGAGACCGAGAAGGGGAAGCATTCTTTTCTCGGCCGTCTGCTGCCAATGGAGGAGATGTGGTGGTTGTTGGTGGTGAAGGAGTAGTTGGTGTCGGTGGGCGAGAGCCCGTTTGTGTGGAAGGTAGAGAGGCAGCTGCGGCATGAGTAGTGTTGGTTATTATTTGCTCAATGGATGGGGGCAGAAGAGGCCGAGAGTCCAATTCCTTGAACCGGAGACAACAATAGGGACTGGAAAACGAGAATCGACATAATCTACCAGGTCCATCTCACCCCAAAGTGCTTGGGTTTCTTCTGCAGTTGGGTTTTGAAGCTCTCCCGGTTGAGCATCCGGTTGAGCTGATGAAGATTATTTCCTCATTTGATGGGAAGCCTTTCCATCACTAGCTTCCCCTTCGTTATCGAGGACCACTGGACTGCGGTTGGTTCAATTGTTGCTTTCTTTATCTTCTTATTTTGAGTCCTAGCCGAGAAAGAGCATCGTCATTTTGGTTTTTATTCTCGGGCTGGGGATTCCGAGAGGAGGCACTCTCACCGAAAGTAGATCTGCAAGCTCTGCTTCGAGCAAGAGCACCTTGCAACACCTTCTAGTCTCCTCGAGGTCCTCTAAAATGTCAATTTCAGGGCAAACGACAGAGCCCTGCGGAAGTCTTGTATCAAGAATAATGGAGTTAGCAAACTTTTCACGAAATTATTTGCGTTCGTATAAAGATAAAAGGAAGAAGGAATCGGTTTACGATGATTTTTGGCTTTCCACCCGTATTTGATGGCCATTTCCTTCCACCGGCGAAATTTTGGTGTTGTGATTTCCAGAATTTTTTGAACCTACTGGTCCAGGCCTTGAAACCGTGGTGGTTCCCATAGGGTAGCTATAACAAAAGAAACAAGAAGAACAGTAACAACGGAAAACAATCTTTTCACAAAGGAAGGAAATGAGTAAATCAAAAACTTATGGAAGCGATTCCACGACTCTGAAAAAAAAAGAGTTGTGGCCGGGATGATGTCCCTGGTAGCGATGATGACAAATCGCTCCATCCGCCCGCGATCATTGTCATCATCCACGCTGGTGAGAAGAGCATGGTGGCCATGTTTGCTGAAGTTTATTACTCCCCCATAGAAAAATTTAGGACAGTAAAGATTCATCATGTGTGCAAGGGTTAGGGTTTCCCCGTGCATAGTCAGCGAAGGCAAGCCACCGTTTGCCATATAGATGGGCCTACTTGCGCTAAGCAAACTCGATATCGGTGGAAAAACTCTAAAATTATGGGGTCGAGCCCTTCATTCGACCCCAGGGAGAATGGACCCAAGGTAAAGGGATACATATAGACATACGTAAAACCCTCCTTAGTGAACGTAACCTGCCCTATCATATCTGAGGCAAGGATTTCAAGATTGAGGCAGTTTTAGTACTCCTTCACGGTTGGGATACTAGAAGGCGAATGGAGCAAGGATACCTACTAACAGGCCAAGTCCGTGAAGATACAGAGGTGACCTTTCTTAAAAGTCGTTAGCAATACCGAGGTGTTTTGGTATGATGGTGCTTACATTGGGAGGTTCAAAATCAACATCAGCTTCGTTATCCTTGTTTTCTTTAGGCCTCCACCAAAGAGGAGGCCAGTGTTTCCAGAGAGAGTAGTGAAAGAAGCCATAATAGCAAAAGGTCAGTAAAAATTTTGCTAAGAAAATTGGAGAAGATGGAAAGTATCTAAGCAAATGCAAGAAAGAAGAAAGACTTGTGAAAATTTTGGAAGTAAAGAAGTAAAAATAATGAGTAGAAGAGAAATTATATACGGCAAAAATCAGGTCATGACTACCTCGAAAACCGGCAAAAATATTTGCTGAATCGTAGGGCAACACGTGTTTGGGGTATTAAATGCGAGAAAACATGCGTCCTTTCAAGCGTCAGAGACTGTTCAGAATCTTTCCTGCCAAGAAAAGAGTCTTCACCAACTTCCTGGTAACACTAAGATATGTCACCGGAAAGCAGGAGGACTATCTATATGAGGTAAAATTGGTTTATAACAAATGATCAAATGGTAACATGACACGTGAAACCGAAGATAGGCAAAAGGAAAGTCAAGTAACGACTAATACCAAATACAATAAATACAACCGACATCGGGTAAATCCCGAAAGGAGCATAGTCAACGGGAGAAGATCAAATACTTGCCATCGGATAACATTGAATGAAGGAATATTCTCTAACATTAAATGAGCGATCGTTGTTGAGAATATTTGCATTCATGGCCTACCGTTATATATTCATCAATGACTCTTTTATTATCATTTAATATGGGTTTAATCTTAGGATTTTGTTTCTCTAGGTAAAGTCATAAATAGCAGGCTCAGAAGCCATTAAAAGGACATGAAATTCTCTTGAAACATATGTTATACTTTACTTTTGCTGTCAATTAAACAACTTTACTTGCTCTTTATCATTGCTTTCACTTTTGTCCTTGGAGACATGCGCTCGGAGTTAGGCTCGTCATCTTATTCAATTTCAATTGCTAAAATCTCACTTTTTATCTTACTTTTTTGGGTCAAATTAGTTCGATTGTCTATAAAACACGTAACAAATTTAACTGTACCGTTTTACGCGTAAACATCAGATTTCTTCCGCTTAATACATTTTGTCCGGATCTCACCTTCCTTAGTATGTTTGACAGAAAAATTGGTATGATATAAATATTTTAAAATAACCGTCGGAACCGAATGGGCATTACCGTCATTTTGGAAATGCATTACTTCTCCTGCATTTCTCGAGGGTTTAGGGTTTCTGATTCATTTCCTTTGCTTAGAATCTTCTCTGGTTCTTGATTTTTGTCTTCATTCAGTATCAGCAGGAGACTAAGGTTGCTGATACTGAGGTTCGTACTTAATTTGAAGAACACCTTCCTCCGTACTCCCTTCTAGTCTATCCAAGTCCATAATCTCTCCTAAGGTATATTCCTAAATTCGCCCTGAGCTTCATCTGAGTACGGACATTCCTATGACATCACTATATACATTGATGCTTTGTGCTTCAAAACCTAAAAGTAATGCCTTTACATAGGTAGATATACTCACATGTTTTCTGTAGACTGTTAGGCCCAATATCCATTTTCTTAGACCCCAAAAAATTACTATTTCTGTTGGTTAATAAGGTGCAGGTTACTGGGTCCCACGTGGAAGCAGATTGTAGCAAGTTTCCCCTGCTATTTATAAACAGCTAATCTGGATTCTGGAGTTGGCACATAGTTTAAACAGGACTCTCAGACCCAATAACAGTGCTAACTGCCTATTCTGAATGGAACTCTTTCTTATAAATACTAAGTTTAATAAAATAGATAGCTGAGTTGGTTGTTTTCTTCTAAATTTAGGTGTGAAGTAAAGTAAAAAAAGACAGCATTAGTAGTAGGAAACAGCAATGTGGTGTATGCTTTTTGACAGAGTATGGACTTTTAATTTGTCCGCTAATACTACTAAGTTAAGTTTTTCCCTAGGCATTTGATTTCTGCAAAAAATGGTTCCAACAGCTAAATCTATGTTCTAGAGAGTGAGAGTGTTTGTGCTTCAGCATATCGGCATTCTGCCATCTCAAGTTTATAAATGTTTTCTCAATTGTGCACTGCTTATATCGATCGCCAGGAGTAATAAATTTCAGGCCAGATGTGGCTTGGAACCTTCTGAGTCGAGGGTCTCTTGGAAACAACCTCTCTACCTTCACAAGGTAGGGGAAGGTCTGCGTACACACTACCCTCCCCAGACCCCACTTGTGGGATTGCACTGGAATCGTTGTTGTTGTTGTATGTGGCTTGAAACCTATGGGTGTTTATTTCAGGCGTACTGCATTAAACCCAAACATTCTGCCGGTCAAATTTGATGCCTCTTTTGGTTTTTTCCTTTTTTTTTTCCGTGGGAGGAGAGGTGGGAATGTTGTTGTAGCTCATGCTGGAAGGATTTACATCTATCTTGTTTTCCTGTGTGTGTGTGTGTGTTAGGGGGGGAGGTGGGGGTGTATGCCCAATTTTTGGCTTTTCTCCTTAAACTGCTTTTTTCTCCAATGGTTATTTTAATCGCCCGGAATCGGTTTGCTTTCTAATGTGTAGTTGTGATGTTTCTTCTTTATTTTTCTAACCTTTTATGTCTATCAACAGAGTTAGAGATTCCTAGCTACATGTCAGGCAAGAAGGAGGCTGGGGAGATCTACACAGTTGTTGCAATTAATGGAAGTACATCTAGGGTCAGTGAAACTGGACTCGATCTTTATCCAGTCTCCATCAACGACTCCGGCGAAGGTTTACCATATGCTCCAGTAGATTGGCCAAATGCTGGTGATAAGTGGTGCTGGAAGGCGGGGAAAAGAGTTTCAGTTTCAGGCTACATTAAGGATAGATATCTGTATCTTCCAAAGCGTCTTCGGGCTCTCAAAGAAGGAAAGGGATATACTTTCCGAAGTAGGCCTTCGATTGAACAATATCTCCGATCTGAGTTTCCTAATGTAGATATCAATGGTTTCTTTGCCTCGTTCAGTTGGATGATTCCCGCAAAAGAGTCAGCAAGCTCAAAAGGTTAGCTTTCGATAAGGCTCTTCAGTATTTAGCATGCTGAGATCACCTGTTTCACCCGCTGGCCTCTACATATGTATCCTCCGCCTGGACACTGTTCCATCTCTAATCTTTTTAAATAAATAAAAAATTAGATGTCCCCGAAGGAACTGTCCATCTGTAATCTTCGGTGTTCCTCTTTCACCAGTTCTTTATTTGATTCCTTTTCTATCAAATGTGAATGTGTGTGTGAAAATTTGTAGAGTGCTGCTAGGAGCAAACTTTGTTGTGTATCTCATAATTAATAGGAGTATTTAACCTGATCAAAAAAATAATTGATAGGAGTATTTAATATTTCTGAACCCATCTGGCAAAGTATCTTCAAAGATCCATTGTTTCCATTAATTACTTCAGAGATGAATTAGGTGTAGCTCATTAGCTAATTACAACTCTACATATAGGTAATATAGATATATTTTGGTTAAAATTTGAGGTTGCTAATTTTGCTTTAGAATCATTCGGAGAGTTGCCGCCCATATTAGGTCAAATTATGTACGACAGGAAACAAAATATATAAAATATACAACAACAACAACAACATACCCAGTGTAATCTCACAAGTACGCAGATCTTAGCCCTGTCTTTAAGAAGGCAAAGAGACTGTTTCCAGTAGACCTTCTGCGCAGGAAGGGAAAAGGAGAGGGGCAACAGGAAGCAAACCGATCTAACAACCAAAGCGAAAATACAATACTACCACTTAATACAATCAGAAAGTCGAAACAGAAGACAACAACAAGTAGTAACAGAAGTCTGGGGATACAAAAATTTAAAATTTATAAAGAAGTTTTACTATATAACAGTTTCATGATTTATCTTTACTAAAATTATATTTAATTTAGTAATACTTTAAGGTGGTATTAACAATGCATCTTTTCATATAACCAAATGAGCCCTTGAGACATCCTTGGCGCACTTTCTGAACATAACCTACTCGAAGATCCCACTAAGGTGAAACCTAACCTTAAATCCACGTGTGACATTTGAATAGCTTCATCCACACTAAAGACTCATGTGATGCTAGTATCTTAATTTCATTTCCTATTCATTACCATAGCTACTCAGTCCATACAGATTTTATTTTTTCGTTCCCTGTCAGTGGATCTTTTTATTTTTTAAGTGAATTTCGTCAATGATTATAAAGTCTGTATACTGTTTGTGGATAGTATGTGTTCTTGTGTCTCTTTCTAGTGTTTAAGTGGATCAATTTGTTGACTTAATGTTAAATATGTTTTTCTTTTTATGTAAATGTGGCTCAGATATGAAAGAGAAGCTTACGTCTTTAGAGACGAAAATGGAGCCTTCACCGTCTGATTCTCCTCTAGGAATCATTACTTGTAAGGCTGGTAACAGATTCTGTAGCAGTTTAACAGCAGAAAATCCTTTACCGGAGACAATGTTTTGTGATGTCTGTTGCACTGAGCCTGGTTTTTGCCGAGACTGTTGCTGTATCCTATGTTGTAAAACTATCAGTTCGGATTATAATGGGTACAGTTACATTCGATGTGAAGCAAGAGTAGTTGATGGCTACATTTGCGGACACATTGCCCATGTAGACTGTGCTCTACGAGCTTACATGGCTGGGACAGTCGGAGGAAGCATCGGTTTGGATGCAGAGTATTTCTGTCGATACTGTGATTCAAAGACGGATTTGCTTTTACATGCTTTGAAGCTTTTAAACATCTGCGCATCTGTTGCTTCTTCTACTGAGATTGAGAAGATTTTGAATGTTGGCGTTTGTATTTTGCGCGGCTCACAAAAAAAGAGTGCAAAACAGTTGTTGCATCGTATTGAATCAATCATGGCAAAGGTATAGCTGATTGATGACTGGTTCTTTGTCTCCTGATGATATTACCTTTTTTACCTACTTTTGAGGTTTACAAGATACCAGAATGACCAATCTGATAATCGTATCAGCTTATGGATGGGGCCTGCATTGAAGATGTATTTAAAAAGGAAAGCTCCGTGGATAGCACTGGTAACTCTCTGCCCTCTCGTATTCTTGTTTGAGTTTAATCTCTCACCTTTGACTTGAATATCTGTATCTGAGCAAGGTATTTCTGTATGTGCACATGCACATTCTCGTGTTTGAACTATTTTCTATTCCCGGGCTTGAACAAATATGTACATCTGTGCATTGTATATGAGTTTGTCTATATCAGTGCTTCCCATTGTTCTCAAGCACCTTGCAACTAAAGCACAATATGAACAGAAAATGATCAGCTTGGACTGTTGTACAAGAAAATAGAATTGGAGAGCCCTGGAAAGAGGAATTATTTGGCGTACAACCAGTGCATCAGTTAAATTCTCTATTCAACTGCTCCTAACCAGAGGAAAGATGAATTACATCCTTAAGAAAAATGCATCAATCACATAAGGATCTTTTGTGGGGTGCTGTTTTGGTCCATTGCAGCAATAACATCTCCTGGTGTAAAATGGTTCTGTCTGAATCTCACATCCATGATCTGCCTCACCATATTAGTATATGTTAGTTCTCTGCTTGTAGCAATACCCCTCAGATTATTCTGGACTGTATCATGTTAGGAGCTGTCTAGATATTGCCGCCACTGTGCTTGTGATTCCTATTGCTGGGCGTAAGATGCAAATGGTGGTCCATAATTTTCATATCACTTGTTCTGTCTTTAGCATTTTTCTGGAATCCTGGTCCAGTGCTCAATTTGCTATTTATTAATGGAATCCCCTGTGGTTCATTCCCTACTTTGTTTCTAATGATTCTTTTTGGTCCTTTAAATGTTGGACAACGGTTTTCACGGAGCTGCTTTCTGGATAATTAGAGCTGTAATCTGGTACATTGCCATGTGAATCAATTTACATCCTTTATCACCATGTGATCAAACAGAATGACATATTAACTAGTGTATAATTTAACATATTAACAATGTAAAAGAAACAGATTATCGTAATTACTAATTTGTTTGGTTAAACATCAAATGTGAAGAAGTTAATTTGCATTGTTGACTATTGTACAAGAACAAGGGGGCCACCGCCTCCCCAAACACCCCTGGATCCATCCTCAAACTCTGCACCTTCACGGCCACCCTTTGGCACCGTCACGACAAGCGCTCCGTCCACAAATGCCGCCGTGGCTAGCTCCGGCATTGTCGAAGCAGGCAACCTGTACCTCCACGTGTCCACATTCAATTGTTCCAACAATAGCTCCATTTCACCATCTCCATTGCCCTTTCGCACGACAATCTTCGTCACCCCAGGATGAATCTCCACGGCCTGTGCCCTCACCCGTCCATTGCCAGCTCCTTCCAAGTAGATTTCCGCCACGAAACAGAAGAATCCTTCGGTCTCTTCCACCGTCACATCCGCGTCAGAACGGAACGGCAATTCCAAGACGTTGTTAAATACGTGAGGCAGTTTCCGCAGTTTCTTAACGGCGAAATTTCCTTCCATTAGGGAAAAATTCGAATCAATTTCTTCACGGAGAGCAATGTCTTGTTTCAAGGACAGAGGATGGACTCTCATGCCCTGAATTCTTAAGGTTGAAAAGATTAGAAGCACACAAATCTTGAAAAGGCTCACAATTGCAATGGGACGAGATGGGGTCAAGTTCCTGTTATTAACCCCAGATGAGGAAATTGATGATTGCATTAGACTTTGTGACTACTATTGTTTTAGGGATTTTGGGTTATAAGAGAGGTACTTGGAAAATGAAAATAATTTGGGAGGTGAGTCCAAAAAGAGAGATACACAAATGAATGAAAATGTAATTATTAAATGTTTATACATGTCCGCTGCAAGCAGGGATTAGAATTGAGACGGTGGAGATTTCTTCGTGGGGAAGAGAAGAAAATAAAAAGGAGAAAATAGAAACGGGAGGGGAGGGGAGAAACCGACAAGTAGGGGTTCAAAGTTAGCTGAAAAATTCAAATCGGAAATTGAATCAAATCCTTTAAATAAATAAAAGTTCATTTTGCTTTGATTTAATTTTAGATCTTAAGAATATTTGATTTAGTTTAATTCTATTTAAATCTTTGATATAATATGAACAAAATCAACAATTTATACATAGATAATTTTAAGAAATGTAGCTCAAAGTAACAATATAAAATAGGCGAAATATATAAATAGCCCCTTTAAGTTGTCCCCAACGATCATTTGAACACTCAAACTAACCTACTGACCATTTAGACACTTTTATTTGATAGAAGTGTGTGCCTTTTAAACACCTTGTGCTGACATGGCAAATTGACTGTGCCTCACTAAGTATTGAGCGCGTGAGGACTCTAAATAATGTTGTTCTCTTTTATTTTCAGCTCAAGAAAATTTTTATGTGTGGCCCACACCACGTTTTCCTTTTTTTTCCTCCAAAAAATTTTCACCTTCTCCCCCAAAAAACTCATCTCCACCAACCAACCTTCCTCCACCCTAACACCAGCGGCTCCTACTCATTTTAGGGTCACCGTCTGCCATAAATCCACCACAGGATTAAGGAAACAAGCCAACAATCTCATGTGACCTCCGCCATAAAAAAAAGAAAGAAAAATTAGGTGAAAGTATTGTTTTTCTATAATTACACAATTTAATAAATAAAAACCCATAATACCAAATTCAAAGTGTACAGAAAATTTCACCTTAAAAAGTAGAAATTCACGAAGAAGCATGCATTGCAATCATCTGAATTAAAGAATGAGAAAAGAATCAAATTGAATTCGCGGTAGAAGTAAATGACAAAAAAAAAAAAAAAAAAAAATCTGGAAGAACAAGAGGAAATAGGACAAAAACGGCAAAAAAAAAAATCCTTTTTTCGGTGACGTTTGATTTTTCCGTCAAACACCTTGTTATGGCTTATCATAATTTCATTCCACGAAGTTTGATTTTTCCGGCAAACAAGCATTACTTTAACTTAGGCTAAATTGATTTGAGTAAAAAAGATTAAATTTGGTATGGAGATTAAAAAAATGTGTTTGTGATGAAGGAGAGAGGAGGCCGTGAAGAAGAAGATGAGGGGGAGGGGAAATTCGGTGTTTGGAAGAATTAAAAATTATGTTTTAGTCTTTTTTAGTATTTTTTAATTACATGTGAAATTTTATTTAAAATTGCATGTGTTCTTATTTAATTGGCTCATTTGCCATATCAACAGCAAGTGTATGTCACGCATGGGGTCTGCTTGATTTAAGTGTCCAATAAATACACTTCTGTCAATTAAGTGTCTAAATGGTCAGTAGGTTAGTTTGAGTGTTCAAATGATCGTTGGGGACAACTAAAGGGGCTATTTATTTATTTCGCCTATAAAATAAGAAGATAAGTAGAATAAGAGAAGAAAAGATAACTTTCTTATTTCATCAAGTGTTCAAGTGTGTTCCATCTCACATTTCCTGCCTCTATTTATACTATTACATATGAAGGTTATAAAATGACTGTCTTAAACATGACATTAACAATTGAGATCATGGGGGAGATCATGGGGAGGGGTTATGGAGGTGTGAGAGTTACAATCATAATGGTGATGAGTAGTGGGAGGCTATTTACATCATGGGTGAAAGTAGTGGGAGTAGTGGACATCCACATTTACTAAAGATTTTATAACACTTCCCTTGGATGTCCAAAAAAATAGATAATATGCCTCATTAAAACTTTACTAGAAAAAACTCTGTGGGAAATTTTTTTAGTGAAGGATAAAGAATACACATATCTGTAATACGCTTTATTTGTTGCCTCGTTAAAAACCTTACCAGTAAAACCCAGTGGGACAAAACCTAGGCTAAGGGAAAAAGAGTACAACGCGTATCTTACTCCCCCTCATGAAAATATCACTTTATTTCTCGAAGACGTCGCATTCCAATCTTCTGTCTCAACTTCTCAAATGTTGAGGTTGGTAAAGCCTTAGTGAACAGATCAACCAAATTTTCACATGAACGAATCTGTTGAACATTAATTTCACCATTTTGTTGAAGATCATGCGTGAAAAAAAACTTTGGTGAAATATGCTTTGTTCTGTCTCCTTTGATGTATCCTCCTTTCAGTTGAGCAATACAAGCAGCATTGTCTTCATATAGTGTTGTTGGATTATTCTTTTTCATAAGAAAACCACACATTTCCTGAATATGCTGAGTCATTGATCTCAACCAAACACATTCCCGACTAGCTTCATGAATGGCTATTATCTCAGCATGATTTGAAGATGTAGCAGCTATTGTTTGTTTCATTGAACGACATGATATAGCAGTACCTCCATATGTAAACAAATAGCCTGTTTGAGATTGGGCTTTATGTGGATTAGACAAATAGCCTGCATCGGCATAGCCAATCATTTCTGACTTGAATTCATTAGAATAAAACAATCCCATATCTATGGTTCCCCGAAGATATTTAAATATATGCTTAACACCATTCCAATGTCTTCTTATTGGGGAGGAGCTAAATCTTGCTAATAAGCTTACTGCAAAAGCAATATCTGGTCGAGTATTGTTGGCAAGATACATCAGTGCCCCAATTGCACTAAGTTATGGAGTTTCATCACCAACGAGCTCTTCATCATTTTCTTGAGGCCGAAATGGATCTTTATTTATATCAAGCGATCTCACAACCATTGGGGTACTCAATGGATGTGCATTATCCATGTAAAATTGCTTTAAAACCTTTTCAGTGTATGTTGATTGATGGACAAAAATTCCATTTGGTACATGCTCAATTTGTAGGCCAAGACAAAATTTTGTCTTACCAAGATCTTTCATTTCAAACTCTTTCTTCAAACATTCTACAGCTTTTGGAAGCTCTTTAGAAGTGCCAATGATATTCAAGTCATCAACACACAGCTATGATGACAAATTCTGATCCAGACCTCTTAATAAAGACACAAGGGCAAATATGGTCATTTTTGTACCCTTCCTTTAGCAAATACTCGCTAAGGCGATTGTACCACATCATCCCTGATTGCTTCAATCCGTATAAGGATTTCTGAAGCTTTATTGAAAAAGTTTCTCTTGAAATTTTATGTGCTTCAGGAACTTTAAATCCTTCAGGGATTTTCATATAAATTTCATTGTCCAGTGAGCCATATAAGTAGGCTGTGACAACATCCATCAACCGCATATCAAGATTTTCATGGACTGGCAGATTTATTAGATACCTGAAGGTAATTGCATCTACCACAGGAGAATATGTCTCCATATAATCAATGTCAGGCCTTTGCAAAAACCCTTGTGCCACAGGTCGTGCTTTATATCTTACGACTTCACCTTTCTCATTTCGTTTTCGCACAAAAACCCATTTGTACTCCACTGGCTTGACACCTTCAGGCGTTCGGACTATTGGTCCAAAACTTTACGTTTTTCGAGTGAAGCCAATTCCGCTTGAATTGCGTTTTTCCATTTTGCCCAATCATTTCTCTGTCTACATTCATCGATAGATTTTGGCTCAAGATCCTCATCTTGTTGCATTATTTCAACTGCAACATTATATGCAAAATTGTTGTTAACAACAACGCTATTTCGGTTCCACCTTTTTCCCGTAGAGACATAACTTATTGAGATCTCTTCATTTTCATCATTTCCAGGTACTAGAACCTCCTGTGAGGTCTTATCAATTGCTATGTCTTTATGCTCCTCTTGAGCAATTGCCTCCATGTTATGATCAACTTGATCATTTGCTCCTTTCCTTTTTCGGGGATTTTTATCCTTGGAACCAATTGGTCTACCACGTTTAAGGCATGGCCTAGACTCATTTGCATCATCATACTGTCCAGCTGGGACATCAACTCGATTTAGAGCATTTACAGCTGGAATATGCGATTTAGTAACCCGTAGAATGTTAGTAAATGCATCTGTCAATTGATTTGCAACATTTTGCATATAAATGATCTTTTTAACTTCTTGTTCACATTGATTTGCACGAGGATCCAAATGAAATAGAGATAATACGTTTCAATCTATCTCTTTTTCCAGCTGTTTATTTTCTCCCCCTAATATTGGAAAAACTGATTCATCAAAATGACAATCAGCAAATCTGGCTGTAAATAAATCTCCTGTCATAGGCTCCAAATATTTAATAATAGAAGGAGATTCATAACCAACATATACTCCCAACCTTATTTGGGGACCCATCTTTGTGTGTTTTGGTGGAGCAATTGGAACATATACCGCACATCCAAAAATTCTTAGATTGGAAATATTTGGCTCCTGACCAAAAGCCAACTGTAATGGGGAGACTTTATGATAACTGGTTGGCCTTATGCGCACAAGTGCTGCTGCATGCAAAATAGCATGTCCCCACACTGAAAGGGAAAGTTTTGTCCTCATTAGCAATGGTCTAGCTATAGTTGAAGTCGTTTAATCAATGATTCTGCTAGACCATTTTGAGTATGAACATGAGCAACCAGATGCTCAACTTTTATTCCAATGGCCATATAATAATCTGTAAAGGCCTGAGATGTAAATTCACCAGCATTATCAAGACGAATTGTCTTAAATGCATATTCTGGAAATTGTGCTCTTAACCTTATTATTTAGGCCAACAATCTCGCAAATGCCATATTACGAGTTGACAATAAGCACACATGTGAACATCTTGTGGATACGTCTATCAAGACCATAAAATACTTGAATGGTCCACATGGATGGTGTATAGGCCCACATATATCATCCTGTATACGTTCCAGAAATGCAGGGGATTCAATCGCAACTTTAGCTACTGATGGTTTAATAACCAATTTTCCTTGAGAACATGCAGCACAAGAGAATTCCTTAAATTGAAGAATCTTCTTATTCTTCAATGTGTGCCCATATGAATTCTTTATTATTCTGCGCATCATGTTAGAACCAGGATGGCCCAACCGATTATGCCAAATGATAAAATCATTAGAAGTAGTAAACCTTTTGTTTACTATGGCATGTGATT